TACAACCAGTTGGTTGGTTTACCTACCAGTGTACAGAGGCTGACCAAGCTTGAAGAGCTGCATTTGTATGAAAATAAACTAACTGAACTACCTGCTGAGATTGGTGACCTCAGGGAGCTGAGGAAGCTGATTGTGACTAACAACCAGTTGGTTGGTTTACCTACCAGTGTACAGAGGCTGACCAAGCTTGGTTGGCTGGTCTTGGATAGAAATAAACTAACTGAACTACCTGCTGAGATTGGTGACCTCAGGGAGCTGAGGGTGCTGTTCTTGAGAGACAACCAGTTGGTTGGTTTACCTACCAGTATATACAGGCTGACCAAGCTTGAATTCCTGTACTTGAGTAGAAATAAACTAACTGAACTACCTGCTGAGATCGGTGACCTCAGGGAGCTGAGGAAGCTGAGTGTGACTTACAACCAGTTGGTTGGTTTACCTACCAGTGTACAGAGGCTGACCAAGCTTGAAGAGCTGCATTTGGATGGAAATAAACTAACTGAACTACCTGCTGAGATTGGTGACCTCAGGGAGCTGAGGAGGCTGTTCTTGAGAGACAACCAGTTGGTTGGTTTACCTACCAGTATACACAGGCTGACCAAGCTTGAAGAGCTGCATTTGGATGGAAATAAACTAACTGAACTACCTGCTGAGATCGGTGACCTCAGGGAGCTGTGGCTGCTGCGGGTGAGGAACAACCAGTTGGTTTGTTTACCTACCAGTATACAGAGGCTGACCAAGCTTGCAGTGCTGTACTTGTATGGAAATAAACTAACTGAACTACCTGCTGAGATTGGTGACCTCAGGAAGCTGTGGGAGCTGAATGTGAGTCATAATCCTTTAACTGTTGACGCAATAAGACGCGCCTTGAAGTTAGGGAAGAAAGGAGTACGTGTATGTGGTGTTGAAGGTAAGGACAGCGGATATTGTAGTTATTTGGAAGTTCGAAAAAAACCGAAATAAAATTCCACTATTTGCCTGGGAAAGGGAAGTGGGTTTTTTTTTTCAGTTATCGGAGGTTTCGCGAATTTGAGGGTTTGATAAATCAAGAGATGCTACGAACTGTAGTTTCAAAATCAATGGTAAGTTTCTTTTACGTATTAATTAACAGTTAATGAATGAGGCTGAGTATCTTATCTTATCCCGCGCCATATGAAATCCGACGAAGGACTTTTTTGAAAGTCTATGTTTTCACGAACTTTCGGAGGGAGAGAAGCGACGACCGGAAATACGTCTGCTGTTCGCAGGCTAAAAAAATACGAGCTCCGCTAAAAACGCCTGCGGGGGTTACCTGCAAACAGCAGACGTATTTCTGGTCGTCGCTTCTTTATTTTTCGGAGGGAGAGAAGCGACGACCGGAAATACGTCTGCTGTTCGCAGGCTACTATTTCCTTGGGAGGGGGGGCGGGGGGAAGAAATACGAGTTCCCCTAGAAACGCCTGCGGGGGAGGCTATGTTTTCACTGTGGTCGATTGCTGAGCGGATCCTTTTTCCTTGGTGTTTGTTGACATACCGACGATTACTAGCTGTTTTCACTTTTACATGTAAATTTAGCTCGGAAGAACTCAGAGGATTCAAATTTAAAAAGCGCGCCACATTCAAAAATGTTAGGAGACGAAGCGCTTTGAATGTGTTTTCGTTTAATGATTCTCGCTATTTTATGAATGAAGTTGAATAGTGTCTCTAAAGAGTAAGAGGATAGGAAGTAATGTTGTAATCCTGTTTCAAAATGTAACAGCAAAACAGCAATAATTGCCTTAAGTAGGGTGGGTTTAACACGCCGTGCCAAATCGATGAAACTCGTTAATCGAAATGATGGATTCTATTCGATTTTAAACGATAGTAATTAAGCGATTCATATCGGTAATCGATAAATATCGAAGATGTAAAGAGTTGTGAGTATCAATTGTTGTCAATTTTCATCCATTTTATCGATTGTCAATTGTAATCCTTTAATAATGATTTCAGATACGTTTGCGCTACTACTGGCTACGAATTAGAAATTAAAAGTATTACCTATTAATTGTCGATTTATTCATCGAGGACAAAAGATTCAAGCCCTTCACTACAACCTCTAGTAAAATGTTTATTTCGCCGTTCATTTGGCAGGCGTTTGTCACAACGTGCAACGCGATTGGCTGCGGTATTTATCAGGACAAGTTATACCATCTCGCGAGGTTGTCTAACTTTGCGTAATTTTCCGGTCAT